ACATCACCCACCTTAAAAGTGCAACAATGCCCAAGCTTAGTCTAATGAATAATTCTTTACTGTTTGATGGTGGTACAGATTTTAAAAAATTGTTGCAACAAAAGCAAGCATTTGCAATGAGCAATGCGGGAAGGAATTTGTCACACATGGAGGTGAAGCTGGGATTTTCTGATCCTGGGGAACATTAGCAATTTTTTTTCTTTTTAAATGATATTAAATATATATTTTACATAGTGCTTACATCCCATTTTCCCATTTCAAACAGCAAGAAACCATATTATTAATTTTTAGAAACTCTTGGTTTGGAGGGACTCTGGGCTGCAGAAATTATCCCCCCCCCCCTTCTTCACTGAGCAGCAGCATAATTTTGGAATACATTATTAGATCAAACTCTTTCTACATTCTTTTTCGATACGAAAAATGGGAAAGCAAAGTTGTTACGTGGGAAAGGTACAGAAATTTGCCTGCTTACACAACAAACCCAACTTGCTGAGCTTGTTTTCTCCACCTTCAATGAGTCGAGTCTACCCAAGTACAAGCCAAGTTGGACTTCTTGTATGACACAACCTCATCCCCAACAGTTAAAGGGAACACACATGATCTAATACCATCTTTAACGGCAACTCTCAAAATACCAGTTTCAATTTGGGAGGCTGGAATAGGGAGATCACAAACCGAACTGGGGGGAAAAAAAAAAGCAGAGAGAATGTGGAACGGCAAGATAGCAGACTTCCTGCTACTGCCCAGGTTGGTTAACAATTATCAGCTTTAACTAGGATCCTGGCTTTCCCTCAAAATTTGAGGACAGACACTATTGTGATCAAATGTTTGCTCCTGGGAGAAAAAGAACTAGCAGCAAATGCTTAGCACAGCACTTTGAGGTTTGCCAACGGAGATGGCACGTGCCGCTTTTTCTCCTCTGTTCTTCTTGGTTGCTCTCGCAAAGCTAAGCAAGGCCAGATCTGGTAAGTACTGGATGGGAGACACCAGGACCATAGCCTAGATTGAGAATTAAATAATTTTTAAAAAGTCACTTCTGTATTGTTGCCATGAAAGATACATGGATTGTAGCTCAACTTGCACTCTGCAATCCTATAAAGCAGGGTTCCTCAACCTCAGCAACTTTAAGATGGGTGAACTTCAACTCCCAGAATTCTGGCTGGGGAATTCTGGGAGTTGAAGTCCACCCATCTT